ATTCAGGTATGATCACGACATCGTAGTTTTGGACCAAGTGATTCACCGTTTTCTTGTGAAGCTCATTACGTAGATTCCTGATCTTTCGAAAGATTCTCGCGATCGCGCCATCTATTCTCTGCGCCATTCTTTTTTTTTCGCTTCGACATGGAATTGTTTAGAAGCTTAACCTGTCAGCATGTAACCCTAATCAAACCTCTGTGCATCATTCTTTCCAATTTCTGTTACACCTTCAGTAGGTGAGCACATGACAAACAGGGTTCGCACCCCAGGATCAATGGCTACAAACTCTTCATGAGCTTCCCTGTTCCGTTTTGGTCTTTCATGGACCCATGATAGGATCCAATCGTTCGTTTTTTGATGATAGGTAACCTTGCAATCACAATTGATTTTTTTAAATGGCCATTTGTTATGATTTCGTTGGGTTTCGAAATGTAAAGGTCGTAGGTCTCTCTTGTTTTGTGTGATAATGCAGGGTTTCTTTCTTGGCGTGCACATGCGCATCGATTGATTGTGTAGGTACAACACATAGAAGTGATTCTAATCCCTTCCCGAAAAATTTTGCGATCAGATGCGCGAGATCCTTCTTCGACTTGAATTTTAATGTGGAATTTTTATCTTTCTGATTAGTTTTTGATCGCCTCATCCACTGTTTCGTCGATGATGTTATTGGGGATCTCTTTATAGCACCTTTAAGCTTGAGCATGATGTACACGAGATAACGAAGGTATTGGGTACTCAAACAGTTGAGGTAAAGTCGGGCGGGTGTTTTTATTATTTGCTCTGGTAAATTCAGTTGCCCTTGCACCTGAATACGTGGTTTGAGGTGGGCGACCACTATGTTATAGATCAATCTCATCAATCCCATCCGTTGCTTCAGCAATTGTTTCTGAGCATGATTTGGGTACAATCTCACGCTCAGTGTCCTGTTCACACTTTCGACTGTTTTTTTTCCTCATCGTCGAGACCTTTCTTCTTTTCTTTCCTTTCTCTTCGATGTTGTGTGGCTCTTCTTCCTTGCATTCTGCGGATGAAGACGGTGTTGACGGCAAGGATATCTTAGGATAGCTCACGTTCGTCGGTTGTTGAATCGTCGAAGAGAACCACGAGTTTTGTAGCGTTAGCATGGAGGGAGAAGTATTTGAGGAGCTCGTACGCGAACTGACATAATCAGTCTCGATGGGTAACCACAATCTCTCCGACAAGAACCTTACTCAATCGTTCCAATAATGCCTGATCCAATGTCACTGATGAGTTCATATTCGTAGTTTGCGAAGCTGACAAGTTATTCGTAGGTTGGGGAGCTGAGAACCTCCTTTTGTATGAACCCTTTTTTGGTGGTAGTGGTGATGTTAGCATTGAGGGGAGAGATTATGTGTTTACGATTTGGATTTTCAAATATTGCAATGGTTAAAAGAGTTTGGGGGATAATGTCTTTAAATATGTTTATGGTTATCGGCATTTGAATGGCGGGACCGAAAACACGCATAAAACATGCACACGTATCTCAATAGTCTTTCTCACGAGCAAAATAAGTTCATGGGTAGACGAATTTTTTTTATATCTCCCATTGTCTTTGTAAATATATTAGAGGGTTAAACAAAATTGATTATTTACATTACTGCATCAATTCCGATTAAAATCCATCCTAAATTTTCTATTAATTAAAATGCCTTCGCGTTTTGGAAGCACGTGCATGTGACAATTATCACCTGTCAAGAAAATATTTTGCCTCTGGTATGAGCGCTATTACTGTATATGCAAAATCAGCGTATAATCATTCATTTCTCCAATACAGATATGCACATACACGCACGCTGGTTAAAAAATCAGTACTGTGGTTGCGTTTTTTCGAGATACCCGGGATACGTCCATTCAGTTGCCTCGAAGTATTGTTGGGCTGTAAAAATGATAATAATAAGACCACGTCAAGTCAAAACGAAAAATTAAGTGATTGAAATACAAGACGCTTTGAAAAACGCGTTGAGTTATACGTGTTATATAATGCATAGGCCACGAGATAATCGGATTTGAATTTATATGGTGTGCATACTGTACATAACAATCAGAGAGTCGTCATGTTGTTGACAGAGTTTAATGACAGGTACAATGAAGTATGTCGATGTCTGTCACATAATGAATACTACGAATTAATGGGTGCTCAAATGCATCAGAAGAAATTCACCTTCCAATTACGGAAATGCTCCGCTATTTTATCTATCGGTTCTTGATTCCAGTTTTTAGCCCGTCTCTCAAAGTTTGATATATTCATCGATCTCTCCTCTTAGCGCGTCCAAATTCAGCTTTTCCATACTCGCTGCCTTCTTTTTATCTTCAGTTGTCGTTAGCTTGACCTTCCCCGTTGAAAGTATAGAAACCTTTAAATGAAGTTGGGCCATTAAACGACCAATTCGTCGCGAAATTTCCTGGTTGCGTTTTTGAGGGTGGTGGACGGCAGAAATTGTCTATTCTCCCATTCTGGAACAAAGCGAGGACGGAAGGTCCGATGTTGAACGAACCCAGTATTTCGAGGAAAACAAGTTCCCTTTCTCGGTCAACAAACTCGTCAACTCCAACCCCGTGCACTCTTAGTAAAATTTTTCGAGGAAATACTTTCAATGTCTCCGTCAGAGCGGTGACAAATTTGTCAGAGCACCTGAAACTCGTTCTATTTCAATGTCCGTACATCAGACCAACCGGGTAGAGCACTCCGTAACAAAAAAAGAATATCTTTGTCATGATCTTGTTTTCTAACGTGGATTAAGAGGGAAAATTAGAGGCAAGCGAAAGGAAAGAACGGATAAGTACAGAGTATTCGGAGAAAGGATGAGGCTAAGAAGAATA